TGAGGCTTAAAGGGATCTCAAATTACTTGCACATGTTGGCTTTAATATGCAATTTTTCTGTTCCATTAAAAGTACTTGTCATGTCTGAAAACTTCTTATTACTTTAAAAAATATATTTTTTTTACCTAATAAGGTCATCATTTTTCTTTTCTTTTTTTTTTCCCTGCTCAATGCATTCTGGAGCAATGACGTCCTTGTAGTCAAGATTAAAATACAAGAAGTTAAAGTACCTGTGATGTCAAATTTTTGTAATGGAAAATAACATTTCTAATGTATTGCAAAAAATTAATTAATTAATTAAAATAATTCATATGCCACTTAGATAAACAGTTGTTGAGATATTTGCAGCACAGGAACAGGAAGTGATGACAAAGGGGATCGCCGGCACGTAAGCAGAGAATGGCTAACAACACAGACAGTAGAGAATAATCTGATGTTTCTTTAGATTATTTTGAATTATTATGAGAGAGAAACAGTCACAGTTCCAATAATATTGTTCCATTAAACAAACAGGGAGTTCTCCTTTGATGTCACTTCCTGTTTCACTTTGGGTACCCCAAGTTTAAAAGAAAATATGCCAGGTATGAGTTAAAATGGGTAAAATCATGTGTATTATGCCAAATTTTTTAAAATAAACAATAAGATGTTTTCTTCCACTTTTTGTATTTGTAGATTATGCATGTCACAGGCACTTTAAAGCTAAAAAGTTATCTTTGACATTAAAGTTATAATGTGCTAGTCTTTAAGACATTATGTATGCCATGTAGGGGGTGCAATCACAATCACCGATTTCTAAAAAGTCTGACCTGCCAATTCCGATTTTGGTTGATACCGATTTTGTTTTATAAGCGACACTGTCAGGTGTTATAAGGTCACAATGCACCTTCAATTTTCCAATATCATTTTACTGAAAAAATTATCCTTGAACAATATTCTAGAAACAATGCAAACTTGTTTTAACTGGCCATGAGGTAGTGCTCTGAAATATGATATCAAAATACCAAAAACATGCATATTAGACTGCCTTCAGGCCCAGGCCTCCTTTGCAAAAGAGATCTGTGATCTCAATGGGATTTTCCTGGTTAAATAAAGGTTAATAAAGAAATAATAAATGGTAGTGCTCTGAAATATAAATGACGTTTAGACAATTGTTGTTAAAACTACACAAAAAAAAAAATTGGTAAAATCAGTTTATCGTGTAAGTATCGGCCGATTGCCCAAAATTAAGGAAATCGGCCTGCCGATTTATCGGTGCACCCCTAATGCTGTCATTTGAATCATTAAAACATGACCAACTTGTAATTTAGTATGTTTAGTATTAGCTCTGGAGCTAACGCCATGCTAGAGCTAACACATAGAATAAAAAGCTCAATCTGAGGCACGACCCCCAGCTCAGCTGTCCTCCATCTGTGTGGACGACTAGTGATAATGTGTAGTTGTGAGATAAATGTTATTGTGTAAGCTCTGTCCTGGTGGAATTACATTTTGCTTTGCATAGGATCCAGCACCCCAACAACCCAAATTAAGACAAACGGCATAAGGGATGGATTGATGGGTAAAGTCACAACAGAGTGTCTCGAGTCAGATAATGTGTAGTGCAGTATTCTAATATTTCTGAGAATATGTTTAGATCCTGCCACTAATATTGAACAGTGCGTGGTACTAAGCGGAGCCCTTTGCAGCATAAGCTCTCTCTTCAGGTTGGCTTTTACAAGCACCAGCTGCACAAACGCCAGCTCTTCTGTCCAACTCTCTCCTCTTCATCCATTCGACCTCCTCATTTTCATTTATATGCTGTGTAATTTCTGCAGTCCCCTCTGTTCAAATTAAAAGAGCTGATGGGGCTTGCAATGGAGCAACCCGTCATTTACCCAGAATGCACTGCAGTGTAAACAACATGGCAAAGTCCTCTTGACATATTTTTGAATACTTCTAAAAATTAAACAGCCTAGAATTGTTTTATGGTAAAATAAGACCTGTTGTTCCTACTAGTCGGCCATCCCTTTAAAACAAAAAGCCTACTCAGAATAGCACCAAGCTAATTCTGCAGTTAAGCGTTTTTTCCTGAACTCGCTGCTCATTTGAATGAATTTACTTTAATTCCGTAAGAAAAAGCTTCCCATCTCTTTTTTCTCCCCCTTTCTCTTCCTCTGGAAGAACACCACCCTCAATGCCAGTTACTCCGCTTTGGCATGAAGACAAAAATATAAAGCTAGCTAGCTTGGTAGCGTGCAAAGCCAAACAATTCGTTTCTCATCAGTGTTTTTAGGGGAAGTAGATTTAGCAAATGGTCATTTCTGCTCATTTGCTTGCCTGTTCAGTGTTTTTTTTTAAACAGAAAAAGTACAGTCTGTGAAGATTGACGTGTTAATTAATAATAATTTTTTTTAAAAACAAGCACATGGAGGAACGTGTTAAGAAGTGGAGGGGGGGGCACAGATGGTGATCTTTCAAAACTGACTCACAGTATGAACGGATGGATGGCTTATTAGTGTTGTCCTATTCGCAGCACTCCACTACTAAGTAGAGACATTTTATTTTAATGTAGCATATTAAACAAAACTTGCTGAAAATATATATATAAAATGTATTTCACAGTAGTCTTACATTCAATGCCCATCAAGCCTATTTGAGCTTTTATTCTTACAAGTAGAAGTCAGCGATCTGCGTTCATTTTACGCAGTTTGGCGGGCAGGTTGTCTTCGGGTCGACTCCCTGCCAGAGGAACTTGGACTGGCGCTGGAATTGGAGTGGAGATGGTGCTAACTGCTGGAAGTCTGTGTTTCTCCAGATCAACATCCTCAGCATCTCCATCCAAGGACAACAGTTGGACCTGTTCCTCCAGATGTCCTTGCCTGACCACGGGGATGGAGCTGGACCTAAACCTCTGAATACTAAGAGACAGGTCTCCAGTGCTGGAGGCTTTACCCCCTGGTATGGCAGACCCTGTCTTTAGCGCCCTCCACAGGTGCTCCTCCTTAGTGGAGCTCATTCTTTGGAGTTTATTAGGCAGCCTGTAAGCTTGATCCTCCAAATGCATGTGGTCTGCATGGTCTGCTGACAGGAGCCTTTCCCTGCGGCCTCCCCGGCCACTGTTACCCAGCAGAGGAGAGGGAAGAGATGGTGCAACAGGCAGAGGATTGGGTGACGTCAATGAGTTCTTCTCCTCCTGCTCTTTAACACTGTACGGAGGCGTGGGGACCTCAAAAGTGTTGTGGAATTGGGAGTAATCTACTCTGAAGAAGCCCTCTTCTAGTGACATGACAGGGAGGAAGCGATGGCCCCACAATACTTCATCCTCGGTGTAAGATGTCCTCGCCTGGCATGTCATACCTATATTGGAGGAAAGCCACCAAGTGAAACAGTGTTTAATACAAGAAAATGATAAATAATGTTATAAATAAAGTAAATGAGGAGTGTTGAAGTGCTCTAGGGAAAAGAGACATGCAAAAACAAATAAAAAATGCAGCCGTGATGGATACAAGCTTGTGCAATTGAATAATTAAAACCGTGAAATTAAATGTTATGTTCAATATTTTATATCTAAGATAAATGTTGCTGAAGCAAATGATTAGGAACAAGTGTGCTTATCCAGTTCTAAAAGAGAGAAATTAGAAAATAAGAATGTACTCTGACCTGTGGTTTCCACGATGCCCTCTAGAATGACAACAATCTCAAACTGCTCGTTCATGAGTGAGCGCTGTGACAGATCAAAGAACGGACTGTTGGTGTTGATCTCATGGCAGATGGTGAGAGGTGACACCAAGAATAGCTGGTCCGCCCCCGTGCCAAAACCTACGTCCAGCTCGCACTGGTCCAGGGGCAGGAACTCTCCCTCTGGGGTCTGCCGGGACTGGAAGCACAAGTAATCAGAACATTAGGGAGTTACATTTACATTTATCTTACCAAAAGAAGTACAGTAACTACATTTTAGTCATTATTTTGTACAGAGGTTTTAGGAAATATATTATTTTTAATTAACCTGAATATAACTGAATTTTGAAAAAGTTTGCTTTGAGGTTACATCCAGTTTTCAAACACTCTGAGACATTTCCAGTCCCATTTAACTTTATATTTATCGTACAGTCAACATCGTGACACTAATCTAACCTAACCATTGGGGCACAGAAGACCGAGTCAGCCTTCCCACCATCACTACACCTTCAGATGCAGGAAGAGGGCCGCCTGCATCATGAAGGACCCCACTCACCCAGCACACACACTTTTTGCCCTCAGGCAGAAGGTTGCAGAGCATTAATTCAATTCAATTTATTTATATAGCACCAAGTCACAACAGAAGTCGCCTCAGGGCATTGAACAGAAACATTAAACCACTAGACTGAGGAACAGCTTCTACTCATAAATCCCTAACCAGGATTATCACTGTGGGGAAAAAAAAAATCACTTGTGCTGCTGATTATCCATGCTGCTGATCTCATGCTGCTGATTATTTCATGCTGCTGTATTCATACGTATTCATCTACTCATACAGACTCATGTCCGGGCTGTTGTTGTTGGTGTATTGTTTTGCACTATTAGTGTTTAGTGTATTTCTTAGTTTAGATCATAGCTCCTTATTGCTGTCTATTTTACAATTTATGTTTTTGCTATTGTTGGATGTAACTGGGATCCTGTGTACACAATTTCATTCCACCTCATGTGTCACATCTGATATGAATGACAATAAAGAACCTTGACACCGTGATCTATTTTGCTCCTCTTGCTAAAAAAGAAAATTTGAGTAGTTCCTATAAATCACATGTGTCAAACTCAAGGCCCGGGGGCCAAATGTGGCCCTCGTGGACATCTTATCTGGCCCCCCAAGATGATAATGTTAAACATAAAATACTTTTATATTTGAATGTTTTCAGTAATCTTTGATTATGATGTCAAAAGTGCAACAGAGAACATCAAATGAGACCAATCAAAGTCTAGTTGAGGAACCTACAACCAAGAAAAGGTGTCGAGTATCTCACTTGAGTTAATGTAGATTCTGAAACTGGCCCTTAGTTCGAAAAAGGTTTTAATTGTGGCCCCCTTCTGTAAGTGGGTTTGACACCCCTGCTATAAATTGTCAAAATATACATGCCTTAAAAGATGAATAAGGCACTGAATTAACTTCTCTAAAATTCAAAGCAACGCTTTTGTTTTTTTTATTTTCTAACACCATGGGTGACAGGTTTTCAGTCTACAGAGTCATTTTGTCAGACAAACTAATTATGTCAGGAAGATAACACCACTTTGAGAGATTTTTATCCAAAGCTCCTGCCTACTGCATTTTTTTAATGGGCTGATTCGCGCATAATAAAATAAGTGTTAAAGGTTGCATGAAATTGCTATAAAATGTAATTTCCTTCTGTAATATGAGACAGATTATGCATAAAGGGAGTTATTTCATTGTCCAATAGCAGATGGAGAGATGCCTGTAAACTTAAAGACATTACAGCTGTTAAAGTTTGCTTCAAGCATCCCGACCTATTGAAGGACGGGATGATAGTAAAGAGGAAAGACACATTTCCTTATCTTCGAGTTTTACTTGCAGTGCTAATGCTGTATAGTGGTACCACTTAAATATAATAATGGTTTGGTTAAAAGAAAGGCTGTAAATAATTTATATTTTATCTGTTCGCTCTTTGCACGGCTTCAGTTTGAAGAAAGAGTTTACTTCTGACCTCAATGATGAGCCAATGACTGGCTCCAGCAGGCCCAAGGCCAAAGTGAATGGGTGCTGCATTAAAACAACACCAGTCTCAACAATTTCAGGGCGTCTTAGTAATAGTGCGTCAAAAAAAAAAACTTTACTTCTCTGTTACGTTTCCCTTACATGGTAATTCTAGTAGAAATATTATATTTCTTCCAGAAGTATCCAAATTGTGCAAGAAGCTGGATTGCTGCTTGTGCTTGCAAATAACTGAAATCCCATGTAAAAATCCATCCATAATCTATGCATCCATTATATTTTACCCGCTTCTTCCTTTTTGGGTCACGGGGGTCACTGGTGCCTTTTTCCAGCTATCACTGTGCAAGAGGTAGGGTACATCTTGGACAGGTTGCAAGTCCATCACAGGGACACAAAGAGACAAACAACCATTCACACTCTCACACCTAGGGACAATTTAAAGTTACCAATCAGCCTAACATGCATGTTTTTGGTCTGTAGGAGGAAATTGTAGTACCCAGAGAAAACCCACACATGCACGGAGAGAACATGCAAACTCCACCCAGAAAGGTCCCCAGCTGGGATTTGAACCAGCGACCTTCTCGCTGAGAGGCAACAGCTCTACCAACTGACGCACTGTTCCACCCCATGTAAAAATCAACATTCTCCCAAATTTCCCATAAAACTGCATTGAAACTCACAATTATAGGGTTTGCTAAGGATTGGACCCAAATACAGACTGATGCAGAGAGCTCAAAGGTTAAAGTAAAAAAAAGAAAAATCTTTATTTAAACAAAACAAAACAAAAGGCTTACGCAGCAGAAAAAACTAACTAATACAAAAACTCAAACGATCGGGGGGGATGAAGAAGATATGAAACCTTGTGGCATAGAGATCAAATAATGCTGAATGGTGGAACAGAGACTGAATAAATAGAACAGAGGTAAGTGGGAAATAGAAACAACCTGGGATGATTGCTGGTTAGGGACAGGTGAGGGTGGTAGACTTACTGGAAAAACACAGAGGAAAGTGACAAAGGGTAAATAGGCAAATGCACAAGGAGGACGGGAAAACAGAAGCATGACCTACACAAGAATACTAAATAAACATAATGAAGTAGAAAAACACAAATAAAGGATAAGGATCTAAACTGATGGGGAAACACAAGTAACAGAACCCTAAAGACAGAAAAATGAACCACGAAAGAAACAAGAGTGAGATAAACTCAAGGAACTAAATGAATAAACAGAAAAACGGACTATGTCAACAATGATGTTTCAAGACAAGATCATTGCATTCCAAGGAAGATCCATTAAGTAAAGAAGTCGTTTTGGTGTTAGCTGAGAGCACTGGACTGAGCCAAGGCCTCAAAGGAGTATGAGACAAGAAGATTAGTCATCATTGTCAACTGCAAGCCATTCATTTTGTTGAGTTTAAAATACACAAAGGAACATGTGTTTCACCCAGAAGGTGAATGAAATATCCTTTAAATTTAAAGGAAATACATGATAAAGGGATTAAAAAGCCAATAGCGGCCAAACTGACTCCACTAATGGGAAGTATTGAGTTATATTGTGTTGTGTCTGAATTCAATTACTTTATTCTTTTGCCTAATGTCAACTTGAGTCACCTTCCTGGCCACTCAGTCCACAGATGGCAAACAGGCTGCCATTTGTATTCACAGTGATGTTGAGGACAGAAGGGTGTGACATTTCACAGGAAGACGTCTGTGCCCACAGATCCCTGGCTCGCCTTTGTGGGGGGGAAGTGTCACCCATCATGCTGCATCAGTGTTTCCATAATACGTAGACAGAGAGCCTATGTTACACGTCTGCTGAAGTCAGATCAGGAATTTCAACGAGCAAGGTCAGCCGGGTTGTTTTTTTTTTTTTTCATTTACCATTAGGTGGTCAACAAAAAAATGGTTATAAAGTTGGAACTGCATTAAAAAGTCACACTAATCAATGGCTCCTCATGTCTAAAACATTTTAGCTTCATTTTAATTTATTTGGTTTCTATTTTGCAAAGAAACCCAATAAAAGCAGAGTGAACATGCAAACATTTGACTCATCCATCCAACCATCCATTATCTTCCGCTTGTTCTGAAGGCGGGTCGTGGGGGCAGCAGCTTGAGCAGGGAGGCCCAGACCTCTCTTTCCACAGCCACCTCTTCCAGATCTTCTGGGAGGACCCCAAGGTGTTCCCAACCGAGAGACTTAGTCTCTCCAGCGTGTCCTGGGTCTTTCCCGGGGTCTCCTCCAAGTCGGAAATGCCCGAAGAACCTCCCTAGGGAGGAGCCCAGGGGACATCCTTACCAGATGTGAACCACCTCAACTGGCACCTCTTCATGTGAAGGAGCAGCAGTTCTGCTCCGAGTCTCTCCCGGATAACTGAACTTCTCACCCTATCTCTGAGGGACAGTCCAGCTACCCTGTAGAGAAAACTCATTTCAACTGCCTGTGTCCACAATCTCATTCTTTCAGTCACTACCCAAAGTTCATGACCACAGGTGAGGGTAGGAACATAGACCGACCGGTAAACAGAGAACTTTGCCTTACAGCTCAGCTCCCTCTTCACCACAACGGACCGGTACAGAGTCCGTAATACTGCAGACGCTGCACCAATCCGTCTGCCAATCTCACACTCCATTCCTCCCTCACTCGTGAACAAAACACCAAGATACTTGAACTCCTCCACTTGAGGAAGAAATTCACTCTCGACCTGAAGAGAGCAACCCACCCTTTTCTGGTTGAGGATCAAGGCTTCAGATTTGGAGGTGCTGGTTCTCATCCCATCCAACATTTGACCCATGGCAACAAAAAAAAAGCTTTGGTTTAACATAAAATCAAAGTTCATGCTCAGTAATTCAGGTAAAAAAAAAATCCAACAAAGTTAAGTCAGATCCTCTGGATGGTTTCTTTTGCTGAAACATTTCAACACAAAAAAAAAAAATCATTCAGAGGATCTGACTTAACTTTGTTGGATTTTTTACCTCAATTATTGCGCATGAACTTTGATGTTTTGAACCACTTTGACCCTGTCCGCCTCTGAGGAGTCAGCGGGGGAGAGGGTGGACTCCAAAAACCATCTTATCACCATCAAACTGGTTGGCCCACTATGTGAGTGAGCTACCATAGGGACTGAATTTGTTGGGGCTCCTCGGACTGATGAAGTCTTCTGGATGAAAGACGAAA